CTGCTGTTGCAATCCAGCTGTGCCTACGAAACCACTTGCCTACTGGGCACTTTCACCCCCAGAGCCAATTGTAAGCTTTCTGTGCTGTCGCACTTTGAATGACAATTGCACAGTCATGCGACACTGTACCCAAACAAAATTTGTAGAATTTTTTTTTTTTTAGACAGAGCTTTCTTTTGGTGGTATTTAATCACCACGGTTCTTTTATTTTTTGCTAAACAAACTAAAAAAGACAATTTAAAAAAAAAAGTTTTTCTTAGTTTCTTTTATAAAGTTTTGTAAACAAGTAATTTTTTTCCTTTACTGACCTGTGCTGATGAGGTTGCATGATAGGCGGCACTAATGGGCACTGATAGGCAACACTGATAGACAGCACTGATAGATGGCACTGATAGGTGACACTGATCAGTACTGACAGGCATCACTGCTAGGCACTGATAGGTGACACTGATAGGCGGCACTGACGGACACTGATAGGTGGCACTGATGGGTACTGATAGACTGCACTGATAGGCGGTACTGATGGGCACTGACAGGCATCACTGATGGGCATTGATATGTGGTACTGATGGGCACTGATAGGCAGCACTGATGGGCACTGATAGGCAGCACTGACTGGCACTGATACATGGCACTGATAGGCAGCAGTGATGGGCACTGATAGGCGGCAGTGATTGGCACTGATAGGTGGTGTGACGATCGCGGCGTCAGACCCCAGCCCTTCTCACCAAACTCGTGACCGAAGGACTAGCCAATCTAAAACTGCGCTGTCATGTGCATAACAATGCCACGTCCAGCTGCACCCTGCACAAAGATTTTCCAGCTAATGGACCACAATCTGTGTACTTGCAGCCTGGGAGCGATTGTTACTGGGTCAGGTTAATTACGCAATTAACCCTTCACACTGCCACTACCTCCTTTTTGTACAGAGAAAGAGGAAACTCGGCAATATCAGCAATACACTATGATGTTGAATAATCGTCTGTATACCACTGTCATCGCAGGCAGAGATATACAGAAGTTTAAAACACACAGTAGCGTTCTTCAGAGGCAGGGGATCTTAGTTTGCATTAAAGAGCCTTAGAAACAGTTCAACACTTTCAGAAAGTAAGATTTATTACTAAAAGGTCAAAAGGGTGCAATAAAAATATTTACAGAACAGGGACGGACTGACAACTCACGGGGAACCCGGGAAATAGGGGATCATGGGGCCCCTGTGTCCAAACTCAAACCACACCCAAAAAAAACCTATGAAAAAGGCATCTCATGGGGCCTCCTACTGACCCAAGGCCCTCGGGCATTGCCCGAGTTCCCAAATGGTCAGTCCGCCCCTGTTACAGAAAAAGATGTAGCCAATATATATATATAAATATACAGAGAGCAATAACACAGCGAAGAGATAACAGAAAGGAATTTAGGGAGGTAAAGTACTTGCCAAAAGCCTTGGTTTAAGCAGCTTTCAAGTTTCAAAGCAAAAGGGCCATCTCCCAAAGTTGGTTCTGATGTTACAAGGGAGAATCTTCAACTTAGCTCAACCCAGCTTAGCCTAACTCCAAGCATAACAGGCTTTTTCTAGGAACTCAGCAGGGTGTCTCCTTACAGCAGAGAACCAATCGCCTTATTTGGGGAGGGGTGTTGGGGCGGAGACCCAAGCTAGAACCAAAAACCCTCCCAGATGATGTCATGGTTCATAACTTACTCTCGGTGCATTTAGCAGCCTTGCCACTAGTAGATTAATATGCAGAATCATCTGCTGAACGTCTAGATATGAAATATGACATACCTGCTGGGATGGTTAAGGAGATATCATTTTCTGCTCTCCTGTTGATGCCAGCTAGGGGATGTAATATATCAGACAACTTGTATTAAAGAGACCAATGTGAATATATACCTGTTTTTTAGGTACGTCTTTCGTAGTCCAAGATATGAAATCATAGGGGAAATTTGATTTCTTGAATGTGATGTCAGCTTTATGGCTTATCTGGAATGTCTTTGAGGCTCAATGAGGGACTTGGTTTATGGCTTTACGATATCCCAGATTGAGAAGCTAACAGACATCTAGGCATCAGCTAGGTTGGGGTTTTATAGCCCTGGAGCTCTCCCGCTGAGCCTGACTGCCTGTGACCTCTGCCTCATCCAGACCACATGTCACTCAACAGAGAGGGAGGGGAGATGAGTGAAGAGGGAGAGAGAGATACAAGATGGAGGATTTGGAGCAACATGGATGACCGCGTCCATCTCTGTGTGCACGATTGCTACAGGCGGCACTGACTGGAACTGATAGATGGCACTGATAGACTGCACTGATAGGCAGCACTGACAGGCAGCACCGTGGCATTGATCAGCGGCAATGATGGCACTGAAAGGCAGCACTGATGGGACTGCACTGATAATCAGGGCACTGATGATCAGTGTAGATGTCCCCTCTGAGGAATGCTGTTACCAACTCTCCTCTCGAGCTGTCAGCGTAAGGAGAGAACTACTGATAACTGGCATTTCCTGTTTACATGTGATCAGCTGTGATTGGACACCGCTGGTTATATGGCAGAGCCTATGTCATCAGCCTACGTCATCGGCTTTTTACTGTGATTTGTGATCTATTTGTCCTAGGGACACAACGCACCACTGATCGCCTCACACCCCTGCATGCGCAGGTAGGGTGGGAGGACGTCATATTATGTCCTTTCAGAACAAGAGGGCGCACGCCCATCCATTTCCTTATACAGTGGGCAGGAGGTGGTTGACTACTGTCTGCTACCAGCATATGCCTCACCTGCCTGCTGTCGACATTATCAGTCTACTTCAGACTGCTGCTCACCAGCAGCCATCCAGCCTGCTTGCTTTACTGAAGACCACTGGCGACTATTTCTGCCTGGCGTGCACACCTGCTCTGCTGCTAGCAAAAACCACAGGCACTCTTGTCACTCTGTACTCCTGCACCTTCTGTTCACACTATCAAGGGCCCAGAGTCAGAGGTATAAGAGAGGCCTTCTTCATCATATCAGGCTCTTTTACTTGGTAGGTGATAACTGATGGGAACAAATGCGCATGTTACTACATCCACTTGCCCATACAGTTTGCATGGGTCCAATTTTCCTCCATATACATTCAGAATGGAAACAGATGTCACATAAGTGACATCCCTCCTGTTCTGACTGTTTACAGATCCCTTGCTGACACAGAAAGAACCCTGTAATGAGGGGTATCATAGTAGTGTAACTATAGATTTTTACAAAATTTGGTTCTAAAGGCTCAATGTTTTTTACCTTCATGTATTCTATGCATGAAGGTAAAAAAAAAAAAAAACCCCAGCCCCCTCCAATCCTTACCTGAGCCCTCTACTGTCTGGGGACTCTTCCTTCCCATTGGCTGAGACAGCAGCTGGAGCCCATTAGCTCCTGCTGATGTCAACTACAGCCAGTGAGCCAATGAGGAGAGAGTGGGAGTGGAGGGGGGAACAAGCTGCAGCTCTATGTGTCTTATGGACAAGTGGTGCCCCCAGGGTGAGCTGCTTGAGGGGGAGGAGCCAGGAGTTCCGGAGAGTGGACATAAATCTTCCAATGGATGCCATCCTCTTCTGTTGTAGGCTTGGTTCTTAAAAAGGACTCATCTTGATTATATTAAAGAGCTTAGACATGTTGTATACCAATGTTAGAGCTCTTGCCATAGTGCACGAATATGCTTAGCAAACTTTCACATTATGGCAGAGTTATGGTGGCCAGGAACACTTCGATAAATGATCAATTTCTTTTCCAAAAATCTCTCCTGATACGAATAACCAAGCTATAGTCAACAACCCATTTCATTGGTACGGGAAAGTGGATTTTGACTGATAGTTAAGATACAATCATAAGTTATCAATCGCATCTCTGTTTCCATCGTAATCTTATATTTTGATCAATTTGAATACAATTATATTCATGAACAAAGTGTCTTGGGTTTGCCAATCAATGCAAAATGATTGATAATTTTCTGCCCTGCCTGAATGGCTCAGTTTTATTAAATCTGATGAAGTTTGAGTCTAAATAATCAGAAAGGAAGCTATGGCTATTTGATTGTGAAATTGATTGCTTTGTTTGAATTACACATCGATCAGATAAAAAGAATTGTGTGGCCACCATTAGGACTCTTCTAAACTGACATTTTGGAGTTGATTTGCTAAAAGTGGAACATTAAAAATCTGGTGCAGCTCTGCAAAAAAAATAATCAGCTCCCAGGTTTTATTGTCAAAGCTTAATTGAACAAGCTGAAGTTAGAACCTGATTGGCTACCATACAGAGCTGCACCAGATTCTGAGTGCACCAGGTTTAGTAAGTCTCCCCCAATCATTTAGTGATGTTTATATGCAGGCAGAGACTGTCAGAAAGATCCGGATTACACAAGTTTTGTTTCCCAAAGACCTTGTGTATACACGTGTGCAAGCGTATAAACACTCACATGCTTATATACATATACATACATACATACATACATACTTATATACATGCTTAACCACTTGCCTACTGTGCACTTATACCCCCTTCCTGCTCAGGCCAGTTTTCAGCTTTCAGTACTGTCGCACTTTGAATGACAATTGCGCAGTCATGCAACACTGTACCCATATGAAATTTTTGTAATTTTTTTTTGAGACAGATAGGGCTTTCTTTTGGCGTTATTTAATCACCTCTGGGTTTTTTATTTTTTGCTAAACAAACCAAAAACAACTGAAAATTTTGAAAAAAAAAAAGTTTTTCTTAGTTTTTGTTATAAAATTTTGTAAATAAGTGATTTTCTTCGCTAATGAGGCTGCACTGACGGCACTAATAGGTGATACTGATGAGGAGGCACTGGTAGGTGGCACTGATGGGACTGATGGGCATTGACAGCCATCACTGATGGGCACTGAAAGACAGCACTCATATATTTCACTGATAGGTGGCACTGATAGGTGGCACTGACTGGCACTGTTAGGCTGCACTGACGGGCACTGATAGGCGGCACTGACTAGAACTGATAGGCGGCACTGATTGGCAGCACTGATAGGTGGCACTGACTGGCATTGATATGTGGCACTGATAGGTGACACTGAAAGGCAGCTCAGCTGGGCACTGATATGTGGCATTGATGTGCACTGGTAGGCACTGATATGTGGCATTGATGAGGCACTGATGGGCACTGGCAGGTGGCATTGATGAGCACCGACAGCTGGCATTGATGGGCACTGACAGGTGGCACTGCTGGGGCTACACAGATCATCAGGGCACACTGATTAGTGCCCTGATGATCAGTGTACATGTCCCCTCCGAGGAATGCTGATTACCGGCTCTCCTCTCCTCTTGAGCTGTCAGCGTGAGAGCTTGTGAGGAGAGAAATGCCGATAACTGGCATTTCCCTATTTACATGCGATCAGCTGTGATTGGACCAGGGGTGGACTGACCATTTGGAAACTCAGGCACTGCCTGAGGGCCCGGGGTCAGTAGGGGGCCCCATGAGATACCCCTGGTACCTTTTTCATAGGCTTTTTTGAGTTTGGGCAAGAACACAGGGGCCCCATGATCCCCTATTGCCGGGGGCCCCATGAGTAGTCAGTCCGCCCCTGGATTGGACACAGCTGATCACATGATCAAGCCGATATCTTTGGCTCTTTCCGTTGATCGGTGATCTGAGGGACACAGCGCACCACCAATTGCTGAGCGCTCCTGGAGCTGCGCACACATGGTTAGAGTGGGATGACATCATATGACATCCTCCCAGAACGAGAGAACCGCCTTGCGCCTGTCATCACCTTATATGGCAGGTGGGAGTCGGTTAAAATTCTTCTTCATCCTCTTCTAGTTGCCAGTGTTTCAATGTATGTGCATATGCACTTATATATACATATATCTACTGTCTACATATACTGTATATAAATTACTACACTGAAATGTAACACTTTCTATGTTTTTTTTTCCATGAATCTGAATGCTGCATTTTGGATCTTTACACAGCTGTATGCATCGTCCCATAGACAACAATGCACTAGTGTACAAATGCACAATCCCCCCCACCCCCTCCCTTGTGCAAGAGGCCTTACGTTTTAGTGTGCCCCGTCCAGCACTGTGAGGTCTGTTCTCCCCCTTATCTGTCGCTGCTGCTATCATAGGGTCATTCACCATGATTCACATGCATCTATCTTAGGACTGCGTTCCTGTGCGATTCCCATGCAGTTCAGTGCTGTGTGATTTGAGCCCATTCATTTGGTGCACTACATCAAAAGTAGTGTATGCACTACTTCTTGAACCACTTTCCTGCAGACCTATGGCAGATTTACTGCTACAGCGCGGCAGGGGTGCTCAAAAACACATATTATTATTATACAATATTTATAAAACGCCAACAGTTTGCTCAGCGCTGTACATTACAATGGGAGACAATACATGAGACAGTACAATAACAATACAATGCGATACACCAGGGGTTCCAGGGCCCTGCTCCTTGGAGCTTACAATCTAGGATCTATATATATATACGTGATTTTGCATTTCCAGGTACGGGCATGTGCAAGCCACTATTTGCGGCCTTGGCGTGTCTCGGTCGGTGATTACTCGCCGACACCCGGTGCTCAAGCAGGATTACCTACAGAGGGAGAGAACTGTAAGTAAACAATACAGTTATCTCCCGTTGGCTCCAGCACACAGAGCCATGCATAGCAGTGTGCTTACACTGAAGCATACACAGCACACAGCACACAGTTAACCCTTTCATTACCCCATATGTTAACCCCTTCCTGCCCAGTGCCATTAGTACAGTGTCAGTGCTTTTTATTAGCACTGATCACTGTATTGGTGTCACTGGGGATGTCAGTGATACCAAGTCAGTTCCCCCCCAGTGTCAGAATGCCCGCAGCAGTCCCGCTATAAGTCGCCAATCGCCGCCATTACTAGTAAAAATTAATTTACACATATTGGGATTTTTTTTTAGCAACGACATGTAGCAGAATACATTTCAGCCTAAATTTATGACGAAATTTGATTTTTAAAATTTTTTACTGGACATGTTTAATAGCAAAAAGTCAAAAATATTCTTTTTTTCTCAAAATTGTCAGTCTTTTTTTTTTAGAGCAAAAAATTAAAAACTGCAAACGCGATCAAATACCACTGAAAGAAAGCTCTATTCGTGGGGAAAAAAAGGACATAAATTTCATTTGGGTGCAGCATTGCATGACCGCGAAATTGTCAGTTAAAGTAACACAGCACCATAACGCAAAAAATGGCCTGGTCAGGAAGGGGGGTAAATCCTCTGGAGGGCAAGTGGTTAAAGGCATTGCAACCAGATCACATGGTATTGCTGTGTTTGGTGTGTTATTAACTTAACATTAGATTGTAAGTCCCTTCAGGGTTAGGGACTGATGTGAATGTACCATGTATATGTAAAGCGCTGCGTAAATTTACGACACTATATAAGTACCTGAAATAAATAAATAAACATTGATACCAGCTGCAGATTGCAACTGCAGTGTATTTTAACATGGTGCCAGAAACATGCACGGAACGCAGGCTTTCTGCACCGCATACTGGTGTGAACAGGCCCTTCATTCAGTCTTCTCCTGGATCACCAGTGTCTTCTGGCTTTAGTAACTGGCAGGGGTGGACTGACAACTCATGGGGCCCCCAAGCAATAGGGGATCATGGGGCCCCTGTGTCCTTGCCCAAACTCAAAAAAGCCTATGAAAAAGGTACCAGGGGCATCTCATGGGGCCCCCTACTGACCCTGGGCCCTCGGGCAGTCCCCAAGTTTCCAAATGGTCAGTGCGCCCCTGGTAACTGGTCACCCAGAGATGACATAACGCTGACCATACACTAGTTTGTTTTAGGAACTCAATCATTTAATTTTCTATTCATTAGTGGGATTAAATCAACGTTCGTTTTGACTAACGGCGATGAGAAAATTCAATGGATCAGGATGGAACATTTTTGATGAACAAATACATTTCTAATGTGGTTTTTCAAAAGTCCATTGATTCCAAAAAATGGTAAAAGCAAATGGTACTAAATTTGCAAGTAAAATGTCCTAGTGTATGGCCAGCCTAGTACTCACAAGGAGAAAACTGGATGAAAAATGTCACTTTTGGAGCAATCGTCTGATAATCTGATCTTTAATACATAGCTTTCGGGAGCCGATCACGACCATTCATATGAAATTATCCGAAGGGACAAGCGCAAACATTTTTCTCATGAGTTAACAGAACGAATGATTTTTGTGTAATTGGTGACCAAGACCACACATGCTTGGAAATTAAGGAATACATTACAATACAATACATTAAAATACATTATAATATGAAGGAAGTCCTCCTGCGCACACAAGGAAGTGATAATTAATCCTATAGATATCCGCTGCTAACTCTCTATACTGATACCTTAACAGCGATAAATAATATTTACAAAGAATAGTGCAGCACCAGTTTGGTATTCATATATTTTCAGTGTTGCACTATTATTTATAAATATTAAAATACATTACATCACTTCCAAAGTTGTATTCTATCTTACGAGAATTTTTGTAAGTTTAGTAAGCTATTTGTTTTCGATATGAGACTAACATGCAAAAAAAGGCTGATCATTTGTCCGATATTCTCATTGTGTGTTCTAGGTATTACTTGTGCATGCCCGCAGGTGTTAGGACTTGTTCACACTGGACGACTCAAAATGCTAACTCTTAACAATCGCACATTTAGCATTAATGCGTATTAATAGATATGTTTGACTCACGTTTAACATGCATTAAAAATGTTTTCCAAATGCCCTATGTGCGTTTCTGGCACATTTGACACGTGTTAAAGGCATGTTAAAACCTCACTAAAATCTCCATTAGGGTCCTTTCACACTGAATGCTGTTGCATGTACTTGGCTGCATTTTGAACTGCACTCCAACTGCATAGACAGTCCAAAATCCAGGCAATGCTATGGGCACAGTTCACACCATTTGCATTGCAGTTCAGCGCAGTGCAGAAAAGTACAGCATGCTGCATTTTTCCTGCACCGCAAACATGCAACGCATCACAGTGCACATAGAAGCCAAAGGAAAGAAGAAGGAAGTGGCCTCATAGGTCAAATGCAGTTAGAAAAGCACATGTCAACTGCATGTAAAACGCACATCAACTGCATGCATAGGTACAAGGAACAAATGCACAGTTACATGCAGTTTCTGGTGTGACTGGACCTTTAATAAACCATGATGTTGTTAATGTGCCACAACCGCACTGCAACCGCCTTGCAAATGCCTGCCAGCATGTTTGCGGAGCGTTATCATAGACTTGGGAGGCGTTGAAAGGCTCCAGACTCCTCCAGGCTTCAATTTTGAAGCAAGGTGACACTAACTTTTCATTTTTTGATAATTTGAACAGCACTGTCCATAGTATTATTTGCATAGGTGTTTGAGAAGTGTTAAAGATGCCCCTCAAACGCCTTCTTTCAATGCCAGTGTGAACTTAGCTTTGCATCATCACAGCACCCAGCTTTTACTCATGGCAACGTACGGATGCTGGGATTGTACATTGAGCTGTACATAAGTTTCTTCATCCATAAAATGGTCCTTTTGACAATTGTTAAGGCTAGGTTCACACCTATGCAGTTTGTGTTTGATCCATTTTCGCACTGCTATTTGTGGTGTGTTTTTGATGTGTTTTGCTTTTTTTTTCCTTGTTGCTAGGCAGATTAAAAACACAAAATGCATCAAAAATGCATCAAAAACACACTACATGCTTTTCTGCAGCGTCTCCATTGAAAAATGCTACTTTTTGCTTATAAAAAAGTCCCTGACCCTTTCCAAAAATCACACCGGGTGAAAACGCAGAGATATGAACGTATCCCATAGGAAATCATGCTAAATGGACTGTAGTTCGTTTCTGTAAAAGATTAAGGTAGTAAATACACTATAACTTGAAGTTGGTAATGTCACTACTGATTCATTGCCTCTAATGTATTCATTTGTATATGTTTCAGATTGGTTGGTGACCCTTATTTTCAGGCTCATGGTATGTGTGAGGCACAAATCATGTTTAGACACATACAGCAGCATTCTCTTATCTCTCAGCTTGGACATCCAATGTTGCTCTGGTTTATTCATTGTTCTTTGAAGTCCCCAGCACGGGCTTTGGAAGGAATTTGTGGAATTTGTTGAACTGTTATCCTAGTCCTGTGACCATCTTGTTGCTTTTCAGTAACCCCCCCCCAGTCTATCATTTTAATAACCACGGCTAATAAAGATGACAGAAGTTGTTTATTAAAGCTGGAAAAACAATTAATAATTTCTCCATTTCACTTGGTACTCCTCACGTTTTTTTTTTGACAAGAGAAGGGTAGCTTAGAGTGGTATAAAACCTAAAACCAAAAATGTAATATATCGCAGCGTACCAATCATTAGGTGTGGTGACTGCATTAGTTTTT